AATCATGGATAAAGCCATTGGTAAGTCCGTTTTGAAACTAGGTTTATGTAGTGAACGTGAAGGTTATCATAACATCCATCAGCTACAGGTTGCGTATTAAGCATTTATTATTAGCTTCTTTGATCTATGTCACTCAAGTTTAAATAATGTTGTTGAGGCTTTTGGACAACTTTGTCAGGTTACCTCTTTCTTAAACACATCACCTGGAATCGATTTTAATATCTTCCAACTGGATTATGATGAGTATCGCTAATCAGTCAGTCTTGTCACTTTGGAACATAGGATAAGATAGGACAAGAAACGTTTATCAAATAATGCCTAAGTTACATATTGAGGACTTTTGAGTGTATTTGGACTGAATTGGTTCGTGATATAGAGTATTAATCAGGTCAGCGTCAATTTAATTATTGGGATGCTTTAAATGATACTCCAAAAATCTTTCATTTAGGTGATTCGATAAGTGATCAGTATCTTATCTTCTACAATACCGCAATTTGTTATAATCAACTAACTAAACCTAGAATGAAAGCGCAGTTTATTCATTCATAATTTTGAGTTGTTTTCTCATTTATTGACTGCTAAGAATTTGCTTATTGAATTGATTAGTTTCTAAAAATGTTAATAGTCTGAAAAATCTGTTTACATGTGCCGTAAAAATACCGAAAGAGTAGAATCAAGTTTTTTACATATTTTTTTGGTAGGTTTCAGGTTTTTTAATTTTGACATGAATTCTCGAAAAATGGTTGAAAAAAAACTATTTAAATTAACATTTTAATTTTAACTTAGTGAATGATTCCGCTGACGACTAAATCATGAGAATGATTTTAAACAGGTATATCTCATTTTGTTAAAACAAAGTATGAAGACATTTTTATATACAGAGGAGTTATATATATACCGAAACGCTGGAAAAGATTTACAGCTCAGGTACACTTTTATTTTGGTGTATTCTCTGAGCTAGACGGTTTAGTTACAAAGCTTTCGTTATCGTTCTAAACAAAGCCATCACCGCTTACTTCATGTAGAAATAAGTTCATCAACTGTTATACTAGCGTCGAATTAATTCCTTCTGATGGCCTTATTTGTAACAGGGTATCTTCCGAGGCTTCAGTGTTTTTCACTCACTATACAAAGCGTTAAAAGCAGTCCTTTTTATTTAGTAAAAATGTCTACTACAGGAATTTCATTAAAATATGTCTAGTAATTCTACATACCAAATTACCTAAGAAAATAAAAAAACTAATCATCCTACCATATGTGGAAAGCATCTCAGAAATCATCATAGCAATTTCAAAACCCTTTAAAATCAATATTGCTCACAAACCAACATAATTCCTTGATTCCATCCTATCCAGACTAAAAGCTGTGACATATTTATTGTACGTTTTTGGATTACCTATCTTTCACACATCTTATTCTTTGCATACAAATGTGAGTATAACCAAGTTTATTAGTCATGATGAATAAAAAAAACAAATTTTAGAACTATTAAATACTTTAGATTATAGGTAACATTTAGTTTAATTTATTCTATTTTATTATAGAAATCATGTTCATAAAAATCAGTCTATAGTATTGCTACGAGAACATCTCTTCATGCAAAAGGTACGTAGTTGAAATAAATATGATCAATAAGTATTGCTAATACGACGCTAATGATCTATCCTGAACTCTTTAATATCTCCTTACTATATGAGTCCAAATAAGATGGAATCTGAAATTGATTGAGCATTTAACAATAAAGATAATTTACACTAAATACTGTAAAGTTGACGAGTATAGCATAAAGTTTATTGTCTTACATGACTTCACATTAGCTGATACTGGCTCTGGTTCAATGTCATATGGATTGTGTTCATATAGATGTAGATCAATAGTGATATTTTTGTCTCCATAACTGTTTGTTTGAATCAACTTATGACTGTAAAAGTTCTGTTCTCCAACACTTTCAAATAATTCAGTCCAGTGGATACTGTCCGGCAAATACTGAAGTCCAGGATTATCGTATATATAAACGCTACCACGAACTATAGCTGTATAAAACAAGAACAATAAGGTGGAAATACTTTACACATTCTGGTAAATATAATAACATTTTGGAATGGATAAAGTTTTATCCTATTTCGCTTTTGCATATAATTTTTATAGATTTTTCAAATTCAGATAATTCCTAATTTTTTACTTTATATTCATATTCATAACTACATAATGTTCATTTGATGTGGTCTAGTGTTGCCACAAACAAAAGTGTAGCACAGCATCTCTTAATAATTTTTTCTTCGTTAAAACCCATTCCATAAATCAATTAGCGGTAGGTTTCCATTCGTTAATAACACGTAGTGGATAACATTTTTCTTAAATTTTATGACCTTGTGTATTTAGTAGTCGAAACACATTTTGACATTTTAAGTAGTTTACTGATAATCTATTTCATCTCAGTAAATAATTTTTTTTTCTTGGAATTGTTTAAAATTTGGGATCCAGTAGAATTCAATGGTAATAATTACATAGGTTTAATGTTAACATTCTTTTGAGCTTACTTTAGAGAATCTTTGTCAGATCAATACGTCATGTTGAAAGAAACAAACGTGTGCTCGTTGAAAAACAAAATTTATATGCAGGTATGTCTAAAAGCTCATACAAGTACATTTAATATGCCATTATAAGATTCTTAGAATTCTTTATTACCAACGAGAAGAAAATCTATCATGAATAAACCTCTAGTCAAAGTACAAAATAAATGATAAGTATAAAAATGCTATATAAGTAAGATTTTATAACAAATACGGGAAATAGCACTATCAGACTGTTTATTCTCATCTTCCCTTTAAAATCTAAAAGCTTTGATGGTCTATCTCACAATTTGTTCCTCCAGCTTCAACACTGGATCTGTAAATCTACACTCATACAGAGATGCAATAGAAAAGCTGAAATATGGTATCTGACTTAAGTAAGGTCATATAGTGATGTATGGCAATTGCACTGGCCCCAAAATGCCCTGGTACGGCCGAGAGTGGGAAGAGTCCATTCTCCCTCTCGAAATCCTCCCACATGGTCACGCTTATATAGCCTCTCCCAGGGAAGTCCTACTCACTGCTTTCTCGTGGCATTTCTGTTGTTTACGAAATTGAGAGGGCGAAAAGCGAATGTCCGGCGCTCTAACTGGGTTGGTGGACATGGAGAGTCCACCTAGGGAAGTTGGAAAACCCTGATTCCAAACCAATAGCGCACATGGGCTCCAGTATCCTGAGGGAACAAATGGCGTATGAACCAATTGTTGGTCACCGGTTTCCATAAGACTGCATCTCCTTACGATGCTCCACTACCTTGTGGATCAGACCTTCAGGTCGAAGGCTCCGGGTGTGGCCCCCTAAGAAGACCGACTGCTTTAGTTTGGGCACCCGGGCAGTATCACAGCCCTCACACATATCAAATGAGATTTGTGTGGTGCATATGTATTTGGTGTTTCCTTTTACCAATATCTATGTATTAAAATAAATAATAAAAGTGGCAAAATGTGACGGCAATCATGAAACAACAAAAGCTTTAGACACTATGAATAGAAACAGGTTCAAATGTATATGGTAATGATCTATGAGAATTTCTAAATCAAATAACTTTAAGTTATCAGAACTGTATCACAACCACTTTGAATAAAACTGCCAACCATTAATTTCGACTGCCTCAAATCCTTTAATTAAAAAGTGTTTATCATCCTACAATTCTCCGATCACTATTCCCTGACTTCACAGGTCAATACAACTTTTTAATTTGGCCACTTTATACTCTACTTAGCTCATTTGTGTCCCAATCGCCATGAAAAGTTAAAATAGGTGCTAACTGGATATGTGCAACACATGTTTTAACTTCTCTGTTGAATGAGGCTCATCAATCTGATGACGTGACTTACCGACTTTACTAGTTGTGTAATTCTCAAGTCAACAGTTAGCAGTTGGTGACTAACCTTCAAGCAAATAGTTCATGTGCATATTTAGACTTAATTCCATATTTTACCACGCAATGTTTCATGTGTGTACGCTGATTCATCTAATTTTACTTAGTCATCACAATCGTTATAATCTCCATCAATTTGGTTAAGTCTGAGTGTATAATTAACTATATAGTGTGAAATTGATTAGGCACAAAATATATTTGGCTCAGGAGTTATTCCTCTTCAGAATACATTAACTGAAATACTTATAGTGATCTCAGTTTCATCTAATAATATTAACATATTTATCTTTTTTTTAACGAGTTTATGTCATACAAATGTAAGGCATTTCAGTTGTCTGTCGTCATAGTTTTATTGATGCATAAAGAACACGTTTTTATGTTTCTTTACAAATCGTACCTAATAAAATATTTCTTCTTTGTGAAATTCTCTTTGTCAGATTGAATTATGTTTCCAATGACAATGACAGTCAGTAAATTAACTGTATACTTATCATTGAAATTTGATGAGCAGTCAACATTCACTCTACTAAACTATAAGTTGTAAACTAGTTATTTAGACAAAACTAATTTTTTCAAACAGGTTTTTGATGCTTTATTACAAAGTTAGTTACTTCTTTCTCATTTTCAGTCTATTAGAAAGGTTATTCGTCCAACTCAAGAAAAAGTGGGCATAGAAGAAGCTCCAACTTTAGTTTTAAAAAAAATCACATTGGTTGAGTGCGATCCAAAAAGAATCTAGATGAAAATGTCACATCATTATCCCCGTTATTACGACGTTTCTTAACATACACTTAAGGTTCCATATGAAAGTAAATTTGCATCGGGTTCTTGAGATGAGTAAACGCGTAATGGTGCGTTCCGAAATGCATTACCTCACTTTCTTCGGAACACCAATGAACACTGAAAATAGCTTTATGGATATTTTTAATAGAGAATAACAAAGTTACACTTCACGATAGTTACTGCCAGTTTAATAATAGACTGTGTAAGACTTAAAATTGAAATTCTAGAGTGATTGTTTCACAGCGTAATGAAAACAGGAGGAAAAACGCACAAATTTTATGCGAAGCATAAAGAAGACCAGAAAAAATCCACCATTAAGCATTCATCTCCTACTGACTTGCCGTTATATTCAAACATCGATTATTATGTTTTAAGATACATAATAAAAATTTTCAAGTTCCAAGTCATTTTAAATACAGCACAGTGTTTGTTGATTATATGGATAGTTACTCAGTCTATACGTCAATGGTTAAGTCTTGGTAGACTTGGCATACTTACTTAGATAATACATTATTTCCTATTTTGTGAAAGAGGCTATATCTAAGGTGTGCATCACTAGTTAAAGCGTACTGGAATCCATAATTTTAGCCAGAAATTCCTCAAGCCTGCCCAATTCACAGTTCAGCTACTATCTACTGTGGATATTTTACAGATGCTTGATGCACATGGTCTCAATCTTATCGGACTGATTTTGATCACTAGATTTTGTGACAAGTTCTTCAACTCACTGATTTATTTCCGACATTCAATTTCATGGTGTTTTATTAGGCGATAGTTTTATATTTCAAATAATGCGCTGACTGAACTTCATTTTATATCAACCCCGTACTCTTAAGCTTTTGCATCAGTACCCTAGAGATATAATCTACATAGTTTACTAGTAAGAATGACGATTTCATTTTCCTTTTTAACAAGTGTTTTGTGGTACTAGTCCTTAAGGCATTTTTTAAAATTATCTCAGTAATAAACAACATAATGCTGATTCTGTTCAAATTCTTGGAATGAAATTTAAGTTGTAAACTTTACTGATACTGTAATACTTGTACTTTATTGTTTGCCAGACTACGTAACATGTTTCCGTGTATTGATTAATCTTTGTTTTTCAAATTGTCTAGGTTTAAAATATAGTGTTTTTCTACTCAATAACTCTAAACACAAATATTTTCTTAACATTTAGTTTGACGCCGAATAAGAACTGTTCACCAACAGTTGATACAATAGCACTAATTATTTGGTACAAAATTCACTCTAAATACTCTAAAACTATTAATGGTACACACGAATTAGGCTTTGAATGGTTGCGCAACATGGGCTGGGAGGAATAAACTGCACTTTTTAACATTTCATAATTTTTAAATACCTGTTTCGTTTATTATTCATGGTGTATAGCAAATTTGATCTAGGGTATCTGAGGTATTGTTTGCTGCATAATACTGGTCGGTTTCTAAAGAAATGCTTTAAAATGCTGTTTTATAATTTCAAGAGCTTATGTGTTACCTAAATACATCGATCAATATGAATGGTTTCCGATTACTGCTTATACTCTTACTACTTCTACCACTACGGGATTTGAATAGACAACTGCATCTCTGTGCTAATGTGGTATGGCAACTGGAACTGATGTACGTACGTACGAAGTTCTACGTTGTTAATGATGGACCGACTGACTGATAGTTTCAGAATATGTGAAAGCCATCTGATTTCACAAACTAGTTTCCACGTAAGATCGAAACCATGCCCGGAATTCATGTTTGGATTTCACTTCAAGAGTTACTTTGGTAAGCATGTACGGCAAGAAAAATCTATTTGGATCATAGATTTCAATGTACAACGACCGCACCACTGGGTCTATACTGTGGTAAGCAGTAATTAATTGCGGAAGCAGAATTATCTCTTGAGCACAAGGTCCGTTTTAGTGCTGACTGTTTACATAAATGACATGAAATAAAGTTCATTAACTTCTGAAATCGGTATTTTACGAGGTAAGATTTTGGATGAATAACGAGATGCAATATCAGATGACTCTAAAGTAAAAACGATATATTGGACCATAATTTAGAGTACATTTACACCAACATCCGTTTAGAAAATCGATATAGTTGTCAAATATATAAAAATCCAACATGTACAGTTGATATATGTATGGTAGTGACAATTTTGCACGATGCTTCTGATGTAAACCATTGTTCGAAAGCTGTATAAAATACGGACAAAGCAGGGCGAACTAGTTGTGGAGTATACACTTGAAGAACTGTAAGAGATCTTTAGCTTGATGGTTTCATCAAACTTTCACTTTATTCTCTTCACAGTTAAGGTTAAAGTCAATTATTACACCAAAATTGCATGAGTAAAATTGATGTGTTTGTTAATACATCTGTTTTCTGATAATGATGACGAAACTATAACCTAGTGTCCTAAAACCCGTCATATATATATATATATATATATATATATATATATATATATATATATATATATATATATATATATATATATATATATATATATATGAAACTGATTTGAATGTTCTGATTTATTAGGAATGCATGCTGTGAAATATTTATTAAAACTTAAAACTGTATTATTGTAAAGTAGTAAATTTAGCATATTAGCACTTATATTTAATAGAATACAGATTGTATGTTTCATGAAGTCAATACACACCAGAAATAACTCAAAACGGGGTAACAAACCAGTTTTGAAGTGAAGAACAAAAGCATATTTATTTATGCAACCTAGGTGCATTTTCACTCCCGGTAGGTTAGCCACCACATTAAAACTCGAACATAGTACTAAAAGACTTCTTGTTCAACAGATATCAGTTGTTTACTTAGGCTTAAACTGTTTTTTGTGACTTGGTAGAGTTAACTGATTATTATCCATTGTTAATTTTCAAAATAAAAAACAAGGAATTTGAGGCATATGTAATGCAAGGAACATATGTCTGAGGACAAGACAATAATTTCGGTTGCACTAATCAACAATAGTAAAGTGTGATTTCTCGTGAAAACTATGACTTAAACTTTTCTACAGTTTAGGACTTTTGCTACACTAATATTTTTAAATGTAATATAGAGCTTCCATTGCCAAAGGTTCATGATGATTTTCCACCATATATATACCTGTACAGTCATCTTCGTGTCAAGGAGACAGTGGTTAATGACTAACATTACTGAGGTTGATGTTAATTTAGTCATCTTTAGGTTCATGATTATGATAACACTTCATAAATGTTTACTTCATTTCAAAATCTTTGACATATTCAAATATTTGGGTACATGTATACCTTATATACTGCTCAACTGTTGATATCAATTCCATGTTGATGCCCGTACAATATCACATCAACAAAGCAATTAAATGAATAGAACCAACATAGTAACAAAATGCTTTGTTTGACATGAAATATCAGGTCAAATACCATTGGCATTTATGTTTCTAAAGACAGAAATATTTGTCTAAAGACTTTAAGAGCACTTAAGTGCTCAAATGCTAGGTTTAAATTTAACTTCTTAATGTGGATTTGTACAGTTACCTAAAACACAATTTTAAGATTTCGTTGCTGTTTTAAGAACATTCCTTCATACATTTTGCAGTAGAATTTGTGCTAGTCAGACATTCCATTGTAAAATTTAATCCTTACCATAATCTTTATGCTTTATATATCCACTTGAAATGTTTTTCACTTGACTTGAACATGAGAAACAGTACAGATGAGTCAGTGACCTTCTCACAGTTTGTTTTTTAAATACCTGTAGATAAGGCTAAACCTATAAAGTGTGTGTATGACTATTTAAAATATTAAAAGAACACGTTTCTACATGTCAGATTATTGTTTGTAAATATCATTTAATTTACGATCACTGGAAAGAAATATTTATTTTACATTAAATACGCAGTTGGCATTCATGTGTATATATATATATATATATATATATATATCCATCAACTTACGAAGTCAAGTATCTACACAGTTTGCTTACATGTCTCATGAAAATGATAAGTCATAAAATTCTAACTAGAGTTTAGTTACGTACTAACTCAGTTACCATGACTAAATGATTGTTCTCCAAATTAGTTGATTAAAAAAATTTTTCCATGATAATTTAGCTCATATTTTGGCACGAAAAGCTCGTCTTAGATATAACTGATATTACTCACTTGTTTATAGAGTTTGAAAATCATCTTTAACAGAATGAATGTCTTATTTAGATGATACTACTATCTATTGGTCTATGCTCCTCCACGAGGAGTAACAGACGTAAGTAAGTAAGTACTATTTTTAAGTTACTTTTTGAAGGTAAATTTATTCACACAACTAATCAACATGAAGGGTCCCATTTCAAACTAATGCCTGGTAAACAGTTCAAAAAACAAAATAAATGCCTGGAAGGAAGTCAGTATAATACGCCATATCAGGATCTCTCTAGGTAGAAATGGGACATTTTTTCACTTAAAGTATAAGCATTTTCAACCATTCGTCGATCAGATTATCTAAATTAAACTGATGTATATTTAGTTTCCTAAACTTCGATTTAACGATAAATTACGATATACAGGTCATTGATGAATATATTATTGAACAGTTATCTAACAATAAACACAAACATATCGATTGCAGCTGTTTAAACCTAAATGACGTGATAACACGCGAGAGCGTTAACTTATGACATAAATGAGGATTTTTGAGATTTTTATCAAAATTCAAAATTTCCCTATATTTTGGGAGGATTCAAACAAAAGCTGTTCAAACATTTTGCAATTCCATTCTACTGAGAAGTTCCAAAATATACTGGAACAAATATGTAATGGAATTAAACCTGCAACAATTATTAGACTGATATAATTTTATAGTGAAATTCCATAAATTAGCCGCAAAATATTTTGGATATAAGAAACCTTTTGAACTAGCAAAATACAAAAACCCTATTTAACAAAACTGAAAATAACCATTACTAACTAGATTTCTTTGAGTATAACTATGGAATTTTTAAGCCAAGTTATCAATTCACAGTTTCCCACTGAAACAATGAAAGATAGTCACGCAATATTGAGGATTGATTACAATTAGACATTGCCATCGTTGGATGTCAGATCAGTGGTTAAGCGGTAGCGCGTGAGACAGAAGGTTCAGGGTCCAAGTCCAGCTGGTCTGCTGACGGATGTGCATTGCCGAGGAGTTCCATAATAGGACGAAACTATGTCCACTGCTTTAAGGTTTTCATAGGTGGTCTAACATTGATTGTTTCATGATTTCAATGAAAAAATAACAGTAAAATAATTTTTCCAACAATCACGCCTGATCGTTAGACAGAGATTAATTAGTAGTTTGGCACTAGCCTACAATCCATCTTGTGAAGCATATTTTAAGTTAGTTAGGGAAAATTACCTTGGTTTTCGGAAATTATAAATACTAAAAACACTACACTTAAGTAATACTCTCTGAGTCTTGGTCCAAAATAACACTTTTAAACTTATAGAAAGCATTCATTCATTCATGTTTACTTTCCAACCACCACATTCCAGTGATTATAAAACTTACCACTAGTAATTTTTGAAATTAACAACCCATTTCAAAATTCTAACGAGAAAATTACTTACATTTCAAGTTATGTAAATCAACGTGTTTCAGAGTTTCTCCATCTTTATAATTCTTTCGGATTATTAGAGCTGCAAAATCTAATTCATCGCGTATTTTATAGCCTCCATTATTTGCTCGTATAACTCGTAAATTAGACAACGGTATATTATTTACATTTGAATGCATTATAATCAAGTAACCAGATATTTCTTGAATTGATTTCAAAAAACTCAAGTCCGGATCAGATCCATCAGCTGATGTAAAAGAGCAAAAAATGGGAAGCATCTTAGTAGTTATTGCTTTTTGATTTCCTAACAACACCAGTTCATATCTAAACAATATTTCATCAAACAATATAAAACTATAAATACATAAATATCATATAAATGTTACATGGATTGTATTGGGATAGATAGTAGAGTTCATTAGTTCCGTTGAGATAAACAGACTAAAGAAAATCTAGACCACCCTGGAAAACCTGGACTCACGGATTCAGTCATTAAATTACCACAATTTCCACAAACTCTCATTCTGTCAATGAAGAAAATCTACCAAACCAAGTTTGGTTTCAGCCCCCAAATGCCCTGGTACGGCCGAGAGTGGGAAGAGTCCATTCTCCCTCTCGAAATCCTCCCACATGGTCACGCTTATATAGCCTCTCCCAGGGAAGTCCTACTCACTGCTTTCTCGTGGCATTTCTGTTGTTTACGAAATTGAGAGGGCGAAAAGCGAATGTCCGGCGCTCTAACTGGGTTGGTGGACATGGAGAGTCCACCTAGGGAAGTTGGAAAACCCTGATTCCAAACCAATAGCGCACATGGGCTCCAGTATCCTGAGGGAACAAATGGCGTATGAACCAATTGTTGGTCACCGGTTTCCATAAGACTGCATCTCCTTACGATGCTCCACTACCTTGTGGATCAGACCTTCAGGTCGAAGGCTCCGGGTGTGGCCCCCTAAGAAGACCGACTGCTTTAGTTTGGGCACCCGGGCAGTATCACAGCCCTCACACATATCAAATGAGATTTGTGTGGTGCATATGTATTTGGTGTTTCCTTTTACCAATATCTATTTGTTTAAATAAATAATAAATAAATAAATAAATAAATAAATAAATATGGTTAGTTAAAAAATTATCAACTAGATGGCGCTCATTGATCACAAAATATTAGTAGTAGTACTTCGGCAGAATAGAAAGCCTTAGCTCCTATGGAATCAAAAGCGCAAAAGACTCAGGGAATGACAAATGATTTACTATGCTTTAGGTCAAGAGAAAAGCATTCACACTGCATTCATTAAGGAGCTTAGTATTCGATATATGACTGAGTATCTAGAACAAAAACAAATACGTGTCGAGTGGGTTTTCTCCTATATTTGGATGATTGAGAGACATTAAAGTAAAAAAGCTTCATACTAAATTTCACTGACATTCAAAATAATGAAAATATATTTTGATAGATTTGGTTTTAACTTTAACTTAGGTTTTTCACTTGCCATCTGAATCCACTTGAGATCAGGTGTACCTTGGATTAGATAAAGAATTGTTCAAGACAAACAAATTTATATAAGTTGCTAATTTGTGGGATTTCTGTAAATCCGTGACTTCTCTAACTTATGATTTCAAATAAATAATGAAGTGAAAATTACTCCATCTAAAACCAGTGACTGATTTTTGTAGAATCCCTCTCCATTTGAAAGTCCCCTTATAGATCATTTACATTTCTGGATGTTAGTAATATCATTTTGAAAATGTATCCATCGTTCGGGGAACAAATAGTATCAGTATACAGTTAATGAGTTGTAATCAAAAGATCCACTGACTATTTTTGTTAAATATGAAATTTAACATTAGGAATCATCATATGAAGCAATTTTAAATCACAACATTATATTAAAAACACCTTACTAGACAAAAGAAATTAAAGACACTTAAAGAAATTCACATCATAAAGATGAGCTGATGCCCATGAAACGAGTATTTGAGGGAATGCCTGCGTGCTTAACCTGACAGAGCTCATGCCCTATTTCCCATACAAACTGGTATTCTTTAAAATCATGGAGAGGTAGTAAATGATATTGTTTTCACAGTTGAGATCATGATTCGATCTAAGCTACACCACCATTGAAAACCTTGAAGCATTGAACGGCAGTTTTGTTCTAGAGTCGGGCGCTTTAACCCGATCCTAAACCAATGGTGCACATGGGCCCCAGTATCCTGAGGGAACAAATGGCGTATGAACCAATTGTTGGTCACCGGTTTCCATAAGACTGCATCTCCTTACGATGCTCCACTACCTTGTGGATCAGACCTTCAGGTCAAAGGCCCGGGGTGTGGCCCCCTAAGAAGACCACCTGCTTTGGTTTGGGCACCCGGGCAGTATCACAGCCCACACATAAATATGAAGAAATGTGAATATTTATGGAAAATACTTGTCTTGCCGCAATTAACAATCACACGATTCACATTATTATTATTATTATTATTATTATTATTATTACTATTACTAGTAGTAGTAGTAGTAGTAGTTGTTGTTGTTGTTGTTGTAGTTGTAGTAGTAGTGGTAGTAGTAGTAGTAGTAGTAGTAGTAGTAGTAGTATTTTACGTCATTTATTCACTCTCTTTCATTCCCACTTTATGTATCCTTACTTTTCGACTTATACAGCAGCTCGCCTATGGTGGAAATTCGGTTGTATCTAAACGTCCTCGAATCACTGCCAGTTTGGAAATTGCATGCTACCACGAAACACGAATACTGAAGCAGTTTTTCTGAAACCACGTGCACCATTCAAACTGGCTGCCTTCAACGTCCGCACACTTATGCAGGTCGAACAACAGATAGGGTTTGCTATGTCTTTGGAAAGTCTTAATATCGACGTTTGTTGTCTATCCGAGACCCGTATTCAACACTAGTGAAGTACTACAAATTCGCTCTCCATCTGTCGCTTCAAAAATCTTGTTTTGCGTGTATGTATCCGTGCAACCTGCGGCATCTTCGTCTGGTCTTGCTGGCGTTGGTGTCACACTAAGCGCTAGAGCCGAGGCAACACTAATCGATTGAATCTCCATTAACAGTCAGTTATGTGTTGTTAGATTAGAAAGTCGGAGTGAGAAACAATGTCATTCACTAACATCCATTGATGTCTTGGACGATAGGTAGAGTTCTTCGAAAACCAGTTCAACTGGTCCTGCCCTCCGTAGCCAGTGACGACTGATCCAACAAATGACGCGGAAGTCCGCAAGGAACTCCAACTCTTGAAGCGTTACAAATCACCGGGCCCAGATGACTTACCTCCGGCTCTTTTTAAAGATGGTGGTGATTTTCTGGCTAACGAACTGACGACGTTGTTTACAGAGGTCTGGGAGCTAGAGAGTGTTTCAACATCATGGAACAAGTTGATAGTTGTCCCTATCTTTGAAAACGGTTCACGTCGTTCCTGTAACAACTATCAGGGGCTGAGTCTACTTCCGATTGCGTCCAAACTATTGGCTTCCGTCATACTTCGTAGGTTGTTTAAAAGCCGAGAAAGATTGACTCGTGAGGAGCAGGCTGGTTTTCGTTCCGGTCAAGGATGTATTGATCATATCTTCACCCTCCACCAAATGTTAGAACACCGCCATACTTATCAAAGGCCAACATTTGTAGTGTTTCTCGACATCAGGGCTGCCTTCGATTCGTTGGACAGGACTGATCTCTGGGATTGTCTATTGAAAAAGGGTGTGCCTGATAAGTTTATAAACACTGATTAAAATCGTGAGTCACTTGAAGCTAGACCATCATTGGAAAACCTGGAAGCACTGAACGGCCGTTTATTAACATCCTAAAGGCCCTATATACAAACACCTCAGGCAGAGTGAGGGCATACAACCACCTCTCTCCATTGTTCCATTAGAGCAGTGGGGTTACACAGGGTTGCCCAACCTCACCATTCCTCTTCAACTTTGCCACCGACGACATTCTGGAAACAGCTCTGATGGATGTAAGTAATGGAGGTGTGGATCTGTTGCCTTAAGAGAGACTTCTCGATCTTGAGTATGCGGACGATATTGTCTTACTGTGCGATAATGCCCAAGCCATGCAATCCGCACTTAATCAGTTGACAATCAGTGTCCGTGGGCATGGAATGTGATTCGCACCTTCGAAGTGCAAAGTACTTCTACAAGACTGGCAGGATTCTTATCGTGTACTCACCCTGGATGGTGAGCAGATAGAAGTAGTCAAGAAGTTCGTGTATCTAGGTAGATGCATAAGTGCTGGTGGTGGCGTGAGTGATGAGATCAATGCACGTACAGTGAAAACTAGAGCAGTTTATGCCAATCTGGGCCATCTTTGGCGCCTTCGTGATGTTAGTCTGACTGTAAATGGTCGGATATACAATAGCGTCGGTGAGAGCAGTTCTGCTCTATGCTTGTGAAACCTGGCCCCTCGGAGTTGAGAATGTTATACGACTCTGTGTTTGATCATCGTTGTCTCTGAAGGATTGCTGACATCCAGTGGCAACACCATGTTAGAAATACAGAGATTCGGCATCGTGTGTTCGAGGACAGAGATGATTATGCAATTGGTGTCACCATTTTGAAACATCGACTTCGGTGGCTTGCATATGTTTGTGAATCTGCGACCAGGCACGCGGGAACTGGCCCCAGGACTTTAGGTCTCTTGCACTAACGCTTAACCTATGAGCCAATTGGATGGCATCCAACGATGTTAATATCTAACTTCAATCAATTCATGACTCTTAAAAATAATAAATAAAGTGCGAAAATGAAATCGCTTAATATTCAACTCTTCTCAGTAAGATCTCACACCAATTCACCAGTCTAGAACACAAATCGCTTTGCATAGTCAAAAAATGTGATTTGTAGCATCATCCAACAGAATTGAATGCAGTGACAATGACAATTAGATGACAACTTAATCTAACAGTTATAAAGTGTACTTGTCAAGTATGAAAATGGAGGCTTACGAACTTTATCTTAATAAAGGTTCTAAATACCTACAGTTGTAGGAATTCAGAGCTGTTCTACGATGCTTGCATTTAAATGGTCGCTTAAATGAAGTTAATTTGTGGCGAAATCAATAACTATTGTTCTATCACTTGTCAAAATATATCAAAACTTACTTGACCATTACATAAAAATTTTAATTGATGTTATAAAACCTGGCATACTATCACCGCTTTTATTCACATGAATCACGTGTAGATTTTAATTGAGTATGTTATCTATTGCTTTCAGCATATTGAGTATTGATTG